GGACCTCCATTATCCGGATTTTCGATTATCCGGATTGTTCAAAATAAACAAAAATTTTACGAATTTGCTGATTTGCACTTGGCAAATTACGACACTGTTTATGTACGTGATGGAATGCATAACTTTTTTTGTTTCAACGTCTCACCCAGTGGTCGTAAACTCTTAAATATATTTTACGTCATAATAAAAATATAACTTGACATACATATTTATAAATAATTTATATTCAAATTACATCATTTCTATGACCAAGGGAGGCTTATGGGCAACATGGGCCACCAGCTATGCCTTGCGGTCCGAAGGGCCTAGCGCCTCGAAGGTTTATGCATTACTTAAAAGCCGCAAACACGATAATAAAGTTTTACTTGTCATAAAACGATAAATAATTTGTCAAATTTTTATTGATAAAAATGCAGTTTCAACTGCTTTTTATTTTATAAAATCCGTCTTCTTGCGCCACCAGAGGGTCTTATAAACAATAGGTAGTCTGTTAGCGCTGGTCAGTAGTAGTCCAAATTCAATACAAACATTTGTTTCTTGAAATTTGATTACGATTTAAATACAGTATTTATTTTGATTATTACTGATATGTCATCAAAAAGAAAACGTGTTGTATTATCATTAAAAGACAAATTAAAGTATTTGTTTCGATTATCCGAATTTTTCCTTATCCAGACTACCTTCATCCCCAATTAGTCCGGATAATCGAGGTTCTACTGTATTTCAAATTATTGTTCATTAAAATGAAATTTCCATAAGAATCAGCAATAACTTAACACACATAAAATATGAAACTTCCTTTAATCATACATTCTCGTAACATTAATATCAAACTCTAGCAATGCCTTAAACAAAAATTAACCAATCAATTATTTTTTTTTACCATTCTTTAATATAGTTCACCGTCTTTAATCTAGATATAGACCAGGGGTGGCCAACAGTTTTTTCCTCCGGGCCAAATTGGAAAGAAAACTTTCTTCACTGCCCGAACCAGAGGCGGCCCTAGCAAGATTTTCAGGTGATGCAAGATCTTATTGTGGCATCACTCCGTAGAGACTAAACTGTACATAGAGATTACAGATACACTTTTCACATTGAGCACAGAAAGCCATTGACTTTTTTTTTCTTCTTCTTTTTTTAAGATGAGAATTTCTCAACTTTCCTACAACTTCACATTGTCATGTTGTAGAGAATTATCGCAGATCCATTCAACCAATTATTTCAAGTTCAGTCCAATATTCAGAGATTAATTGCAGGCCACGGTACACTATACCCAATTAAATTAACTTCAACTTTTTATTTCTTTTTGCAAATCGGCTCAACACTTTTTCAGCTGTGATTTTCTGGGTAGGGCACCAAGTTAACTGGGGGGTCATGCCCACCCATGCCCCTTCCTGGCTATGCCCATGCACATCATATTAAATTCATTTTTATATTTTATTAGATATGTATTAAAAAATACTTATAAGAAAATATAAAATCAAATATTTATTAATTGTCTGTAAAAACAATATGAATATTCAGGCAAAAATAGAAAAAACATTCATGTCATACACAAATGTTTTTTTCTGTTGTTTGTAAAAAATAAATTTTTTGTAAAATAAATAATCAATTGATTAGAAGTGCAAAAACATAAAAATTGCAAATATTTTTAATTAGTAATTTTTAAATGCATTATTTCATTGTTTCAATGAGGCTACAAACCTATAATAAAAAAAGCATTAAAAATTCAGATATAAATTCTAAACACCTCATTTTTAAATCATAAAATAGTCTGTTTGATTACAAATTTCAAATAAATTTTAAATTAAATCTTGATAAAGATCTCATTTTTACCTTGAGATTCTCGCACAACTTCTCTTGCACTAGTTGTAAGAACACCATCATGCCATTCTCTTGTATCAACATCAATAAAACCTAATAACTGAAATTAACATTAAATTTGTTAATCACTTTAAAAATCTTTGAAAAGAAATGCCACATATAAATTCTCAGAGTAAACAAATCTATTTTAAAAAAATTATTCCTTTTTTGAACTTTAATGGAATATAAATTGTTTGTTATCAATAATTGGGACAATTTAGTTTCACAGATTGATCTGATGCTTATCTCTAGTACCAAATTATCTGAATTACTCAGATATTTAATAGTTAATTTGTAATTTAAAAAGATAAAGACAATACATAAGACAACTTCCTTCCAATATCATAAATATATTAAATACAGTGGGTGATCGATTAACAAACAGTTCAGACTGCGAACAAATTGGACAATGAACACTTTCACAAAAAATTTTTATGTTCGGACAACAAACACCTCACAGAACAAACACATGAAGAAGCAAAGCAGTGTTTAAGATTTGTAAGACTATTTTACTGGAATCTATGAATGGTTTATGGAACAAGATTTTCACAGTTGTATACATAACCTTTTTTACATTAGTTGATTTCTGTTCTCTGAATTTTTGTAAGTGTTTTTCTGAACTTTTTATTTTAAAAAACTGATAATATTATGAAGCCTAAAAGAGTGGAGTGTCAAGAACTGTGTTCACTAGATAAACTAAGAAGGAGATAATAGCGAAGGTAGAGAGTGGGCAGAAAATGTCTGATATTCCTATGCAGTATGGTTTCAACAGGTCTACAGTATATATTTCGTTGAACCAAAAGTTTGTTCGGGTATTTACATAATCGCTCGTCTGTGGCACCTCTGTTGTGTTTATCAAGTTTTAACTTGTTTAGGTGACATTACGAATATCTGCATATTTATTACATAAGTTTAATTACAGCTATTTTTTAAAATTTTGTTAACTTTTAAGAAAAAAAAAAACATTAAAATGGAAGATAAGAAGGTGCATTTTTGACATCTAATGCTCTATTATTTCCGAAAAGGAAAAAATGCAACAAAAACTCAAAAAAAAAAAAATATGTTCTGTATATGGGGAGGATGCAGTTACTGATCGAACATGCCAGAAATGGTTTTCAAAATTCAAAGAGGGAGATTTTTCTCTTGAAGATGCACCTCGGTCAGGACGACCTTCAACCATAGAAGATGAGTCTGTAACAGCTTTAATTCAAAATGATTGGCATAAAACAACATGAGAGATAGCCAACATCTTAAAAATATCCCAAACATCTGTTGTCAGACATTTGGCTAGCCTTGGATACACTTCCCGTTATGATGTTTGGATTCCCCATAAGTTAAGTGAACAAAACCTTATTGAGCATGTTTCTGTACGTGATTCACTTTTAAAACACAATGAAGATGATCCCTTTTTAAAGCAATTAATAACAGGTGATAAAAAATGGATCGTTTACAACAATATTCAACGCAAGAGATCTTGGAGTAAGCCAGGTGATCCTCCGGTGCCACAACCTAAAGGTGGTTTGCATCCCAGAAAAGTAATGATTTCAGTTTGTTGGAACTGAAAAGGAGTTCTTTATTACGATCTTTTATCCAACAACCAAACAATTAATTCCAATAAATATTGTCTCCAACTGGATGAACTAAAGCACTGTTTCTCAACGGGGGGCGATATCGCCCCCATGTGGGCGTTTTTCCATGTTCAGGGGGAATTAGTAACAATTTATATTTTGGGGGCGNAAAAAAAAACATTAAAATGGAAGATAAGAAGGTGCATTTTTGACATCTAATGCTCTATTATTTCCGAAAAGGAAAAAATGCAACAAAAACTCAAAAAAAAAAAAATATGTTCTGTATATGGGGAGGATGCAGTTACTGATCGAACATGCCAGAAATGGTTTTCAAAATTCAAAGAGGGAGATTTTTCTCTTGAAGATGCACCTCGGTCAGGACGACCTTCAACCATAGAAGATGAGTCTGTAACAGCTTTAATTCAAAATGATTGGCATAAAACAACATGAGAGATAGCCAACATCTTAAAAATATCCCAAACATCTGTTGTCAGACATTTGGCTAGCCTTGGATACACTTCCCGTTATGATGTTTGGATTCCCCATAAGTTAAGTGAACAAAACCTTATTGAGCATGTTTCTGTACGTGATTCACTTTTAAAACACAATGAAGATGATCCCTTTTTAAAGCAATTAATAACAGGTGATAAAAAATGGATCGTTTACAACAATATTCAACGCAAGAGATCTTGGAGTAAGCCAGGTGATCCTCCGGTGCCACAACCTAAAGGTGGTTTGCATCCCAGAAAAGTAATGATTTCAGTTTGTTGGAACTGAAAAGGAGTTCTTTATTACGATCTTTTATCCAACAACCAAACAATTAATTCCAATAAATATTGTCTCCAACTGGATGAACTAAAGCACTGTTTCTCAACGGGGGGCGATATCGCCCCCATGTGGGCGTTTTTCCATGTTCAGGGGGAATTAGTAACAATTTATATTTTGGGGGCGAAAAAACTATTTTCTGCGCGACATAGTAAAACATTATGTTAAGAATGATTAGATATTTTATTCGTTATATCGTACAATAATTAAACAAATAACATTATATAGTCACCAGTCTATTCGATGCAGTACAAATTTGGCGTTAGCCTTGTCCCTCGGCATCGGAATTTTGTAGTGAAGGGGGCGATACTACGTAACAGTTTTATTGGGGGGGCGATATTACGTTGAAGGGGACGACGATTCGTTAGAGGTTGAGAAACACTGAACTAAAGGCTGCAGTGCATCAAAAAACGTCCAGAACTTGCAAATCGACGGGGAGTGGTATTCCGTCATAATGCAAGACCGCACATATTGTTAAACAAGCGCCAAAAACTTCTAGACTTTAACTGGGATGTTTTGAGTCACCCTGCATATTCTTCAGATATTGCTCCCTCAGACTATCATCTTTTTCGTTTATTGCAGAATAATTTAAATGGCATAGAATTTCAATCTCTAGAGATTGAAATTCTATGCCATTTAAATTATTCAAAAATCACATTGATAATTTTTTCAATCAAAAACCCACCCAATTCTACACAGATGCAATTATGAAACTACCCGTCAGATGGCGTAAGGTTATTGAACAGAAGGGTGAATACATTGTGGATTAAACGTTTTTATTTATTTCAAAATAGTATATTTTATTTCTTTCTAAAAACCGAATGAACTTTTGGTTCAACCCAATACAATCTTAGCTAAGAAAGATATAATCAAAAAGACTTAAGTAGATAAAGGAGTAACGAAAATCACATCTGAGAAACAAAGATGTGCCATCCATGACAAAAATGTAGAGATTGCTTTTAATTTGTTATTACATGTAAATAAACATAGTAAGAAATTTAAAAAATTTTTATTTATTTTTCAGGGTCTGCAGAACGAATTAATCAAATTCCCATAAAAATCTACGGTAAATTGATAATTGATTAATGTGAAGTTCCAAAAACAGGTTGAAATTAAAAGTTGTTATAAAATTTTATTAAAACGAAACTAGAAAAACTTCCATTGTTAAAGCTGATCGAAGGTCAGATTAGTTGTGCAAGTCATATGAAATGAAGATGAGAAAAAAAAAACATTATTGTAAAATGCATTGCAATCAATGTAGACAAACGTCGACCAGAAGAGATGGATCTTTGACTAATTGCTTGTATACAAGCAATTAGAACATAGAAAAATTTTGAAGAGAGGAAAGGTTAATGATAAAAAGAGACATCATGTCAGGTCATTAAAATTCTAAAACGTCATAGACTAGACAATAATGAGGAAAAATATGAATGCAGATTTCAAAGTTCCATCAGCACCTTCCATCCAGAGTTAACGAATAGTGTCAGGTAGATTCTCCAAAGCGGATCTTTCTCGTGACCCAAACAGGTCTTGTCTTTCACTTACAGACAAGCAGTTGCATAGCATAGTGGGGGCGGCAAAATTTCACAATAAATAATAATAATATTTTGTATAAACTTGAACCATTTCATCACATATTTTTGTCGCACCTACAATTCGGACCATTGAAATGAGCATGAAAAATGTCATCATCCGGACAGTCCGGGATTTCATGCACAAAAGTCATCTAGGTTACTTACGTTACTCCTACCCAATTCTCCCTAATCACTAACTGAACCGGCATGCACTGCACATTATTCTTCGCATTGCAAAATGACATATGCATGCGTCAGGAACTTCTGTTTGAACAAACCTCACCTGCCTTCCAGGTCAGTGATTTTAAAAAGGTGGCAACACTAGCATGGAATTTTTCATTACTTATTCTGTGACGAAACTGAATTTTAGTTTTTTAAATTGAGATACCTAAATAAGGGGGTGGCGAAATTTTCTTTTGCCCTGGGCGGCTGACACCCACACCACGCCACTGGGGACAAGGGACCAATTGAGAAGTGAGAAAAAGAGATGTGGAGCCAATCAGAATGGACAAAAGAAAGAATGAAGATTGATATAATCCCTGATCTTCAAGGACAGACTCACTTTCTGTAAACTGTGCACCTGCACACGGTTAGTCAATGTGCAAAATGCAGTTTTCCGTCTATTGTGCCCAACCAGTAGCCTGTGCCACTACAGACACAGACAGTGTCGCCAACACCAATCAATGGAGTCTCCCCACCTGCCTTTGCCCTGGGGCCACCTTTGATTGACAAACAAGAAACAACATTGATGCCTATGATGTCAGAACAACCAATTGTTTTAAGGAAAACTATTTTTTTTCTGGTGTAAGTTTATTTCATGTTAAAATAAATGGTTTTTGTAAGATACTTGTCATCTTTGTCTCTGCCACCACTACCCACATACAAAAGGACCCTAGACCATCACTGACACAAAATTAACTGATTTCTCCTAAAAAGTCAGCTTACTATTAATAAACAATTCAGGTAGTGAACATCGTCTTTGAATGGATTATGTTTGTTAACCAATCAGCCACTGTATTACGTACTAGCATTAATTTTTATTTTGATTCAGAATATATAAATATTAAAAAATATTTAAATTGTAAAAATGTCCTCTTGTAGTTTGGAAATTATAAAAATTATAGATTACATGATTTTTTTAGATTGATGATGATATATTAGAATTTTACAAAATCAGCATAAAATATACCATTAACAATTATATATTAAATTCATTATAATAAATAAATTATTTAAAAATAGACTCAACCTATTTTTGTTTTACAAAAGATTTATATATATATATATATAAAGCTCTTTCTGCCCTTATGCACTAAGAGGACCTCTTTTAGCAAGCCTATTATGGGTTCAGCCAGGTCCACAATGGAGTGGCCAGGTGGTAAGGGATGGGGTCCAACATATCCAGGCATTCCTGAAGATTTTTCAACCTATCTGGATTCTATCCCAGGTCCCCCAGAACAGTAGGCTGCTTAAGATTTATGTATTGTAAACCTGCAGTCATATTATATTGTTAAAAACAAGTTAAAGAGAATAATTTCATAATTATAGTAAGTAACCTCTTCACTAAATTTAAGAAAAACTCTATTAAAGATTTTCAATGACATATCTGTAATGTGTGATTCACTGACTGATAGTTAATAAGAGATTTTATAAACAAAATGATGAATACAAAACAAAATACAAAAACATTAAAATGAATAAAAAAAGTAAATTACATTCTCAATAATTAACATTTTTAACACATAACAAACAAAGGTTTACAAAGTGTCATAAATTATAAATGTTTAAACAAAAGTCATTTTGCTAGGTACAGGATGATATACAGTAAAAAATGTGTAAAAGCTGGAACTGAAAGGGATTCAGTGGACTTTCCAGCATAAGCAAATTTTCTGTCTTAGACAGGATGGAACAATAAAATGGCCACTACTTTGAAATGCAAACATACTCAGTGTAAAAACTGAGTATGTTTAAATGTCTGAATAATGCAAAATCACATCAATCAATAGTGAAAGTGTTAACATATTCAGTTCATACTATCATATTTTAGCAAATTTTAATAACATTAACAAGATAGAAATAATTTATATTAATAATTAATATAATTTCTCTAATGTATTAATATTTGCTAGTCAAAATTACTGTACATTAATTTTAATTAAAAAATAACATTTATATAAAACTTAATTAATGAAAATATTGCAATTATATTATTAAGAATAATATGCCTATATTAATCTCTGTAAAGTTATTCTAAATGATGTTTTTAATTCTTAATTTTCAACTATTTTTAACAACTAATATTATGAAATTCAATACTAATCATATATATGTAATATTTAATACAGTACCTGAATCCGAGAAATTGCCTTGGGGTTCATTAGATAATGTTTAACATTTTTCCCCATTTTATTTAGTGCATGTTTTAATAATTTCCATAATGTTGATTTTCCAGAACCACTCAAACCAACAATAACAACTCCTATTCTTTGTTGTAACTGTTCATATAATTCCATTACTTTTTTCACCTATTGAGAAATGTATAAAAACAATCATATAATTAATAAACTGAATACTCATAAATGATAAAATGTTATTAATTGGAAA